TAGACATTTTTCCTCCCTAGGTGCAGCACTTTGCATTTCTCCTTGTTGAATTGCATTCTGTTGTTTTCTGCCCATATGTCCAACCTGTCCAGGTCTGCTTGTAGTTGTTCCCTGCCCTCCGGTGTGTCCGCTTCTCCCCACAGTTTTGTGTCATCCGCAAACTTGGCGAGAGTACGCTTCACTCCCTCGTCCAAGTCGCTGATGAAGACATTGAAGAGTATCAGTCCAAGGACTGAGTCCTGAGGGACCCCACTGCCCACACCCTTCCAGGTCGATACCGACCCATCCACTACGACTCTCTGGGTGCGACCCTCTAGCCACCCACTGGACTGTGTAGTCATCCAAGTCACAGCCTCTTAACTTGTTCACATGACTGCATGCTTATAGGCAGCTCTTTCAGTGCCCGGAAGGCTACTCAGTAAGACAGAGGCCTCTTTGTCTAGCCTAGGACTACTGATGCCTTGATCCTGGTTCCTTGGTCCAGTTCCTTGTTCCCTGTTCCTTGGGTCCTGTTTATTGGTTTCTGGCTTTATCCTGGTTCCTCATTTCTGCCTGTTGGTTTATGATTTTTTATCTCTTTGCTTCTCGGCTGGGTGCTATCCCTTGACCCCTGGTTATTAACCTGTAAATTTTGTTCCCTTTCCTGCTTTGTCTTGTGTTGGTCTTGCAACATTAGTCACTGTGCACTTAGTGGCCTCCCTCCAGGCATTGAGGGCGGTTTCTGGTAGGCTTAAACCCACTGTCATGGCACGATATGTAGTCCTGACCCCTTTGCGCCTCACTTGCTGGCTGAAGCCCTCCATCCATGGAGCATCCAGACACTTGCCCCCAACCCCATGTGCTGGGAGTGTCTCAGGAGCCCATGTGGCCTTAGTTATTACCCCGCTCTTCTTTGGCGGGAGCAATGGACATAAGAACTGCCATTTACTGGGTCAACCCATAGGTCAGTGGTTCCCAATCTTTTTTTTCCATGCTCTGCTGCTGGGAGCAGAATACAGCAGCAGCAGCAGCCCAGGGGCAGGGGAGGTCCTGGCATGCAGATCGGCTTGTCTTTTCTGTGTGGTGCCACTAGCATCGCCCCCACAACCCTCATTTGGGTCGCAACCTGGGGTTGGGAACCGTTGCCATAGGTCCATCGTGCCCAGTCTCCTGCATCACACAGGGGTAGAGAGCAGACAGGGTGTGACCAGGGTTTTTCTCATTCCCACTGTTGCTCTCTCACTTGCAGCCTCCAGCATTTAAGGTCTAGGAAGTTCTGATTCAGAGACCGTGCCCCTCACTCCCGTGCTCAATCACTATCAATGCCCCTTTCATCCAAGAATTTGTCTAATCCCTTTTCTGGATCTGGCTAAACAGTCAGCTTCCACAGCATCTGGTGGCAATGAGTTCCACACTTTAATGAATAAATAAAAAGTTCCACAATTTAATTTTAAAAAAATCTAGTCAGACCCTGTGTTTTCACAGCCAGCTCCTGGCCCACAGCTTTGGATCAGCAATCATCCATGTTCTGATCTCTGACAGCTATAGAAGTCTGCTCTGGACCCCCTAACTAGCCTGCTGTCCTGGTGCTCAAAAATTTGTGTGTGGCTGCACTGGATATTTAGGAAGGAGCTGAGATACCACCTAGGACAACTTTAACCCTGCATGAATGCCTTTTTTAAATCCTAAATGTATTTTCTGCCTTGCATATGTAAACTAGAAGCAGTTGTACCCCACCACCAGGGTCCTTCTCTGTGTTCCTCCACCAGAGACCAGAGTTGTTACACCAAGTACAGAATCTTAAGTCCAACCTGTGTGTCTCAATTATTTAGCTCCACTGGTGCATATACATCCATGTGTGAACACATACACAGAGTCCATTGTGTGACACACACATTGAGCCCATTTCTTCCAAGCCCCACCCTGAGTTTGGCCCTCCCATGCAGGTGAGCCAAGTTTCTCCAGCTCTGTACCAGCCAACTCAAAGAAGTCAACCTGCCTGTCCTGCTCCCCCTACATCGCATCCCACCTCTGGGCCATACATGCCCTGCTGCCTCACTGCCTGTGGATGAAAAGCACTGGGTGACAGGGAATTACATTTCTGGGGATGGCAGGTGCCCCAGGCTGCAAAGGCAGATCTGATGTGTTGGGGGCATTTCAGCCCACCAGTGCTGAGGGGCTGCCTCCCCTAGTGGGGCTTTCCTGTCCCTATGACCCCAGATCTGACCTTCTTTCTGTGAACCTGGGCTGTCCTTGACACAGAAAAATCAGCTATGAACTAGGAGAGAGTCCCCAGGTAATGAAGCAGAGCTGGAAAAAGGTCAGGGTGGCTTGAGGAAACCTTGCATCTCCTTAGGGGAGTGGTTCTTGACCTTTCTAGGCTCATGCCTCCCTCCCCCCCCCACCTTGGAAAATGCCAGCTCTGAGCAGCTCTGAGCTGCTCATATGTTGTCGGTTGAAAAACAACAGAGCAGTTCTTCTGTGTTGAACTAAGCCCACAGCAGAGCAGCATGCTTTGACTAGCATGGATTCCTATTGGAAATCTCTAGGTTTACCTTGTGTAGGGTAGCACATCTAATAGTGCTGATATTGTGCAACACCCTTAAAAGGATCTCATGGCACCCCTAGCTGAGAATCACTGTCCTAAAGTGAATACTTCACATAGGCACCAGTGCTCAATGATTTGGCCCCATGGGCCAGATGGAGCCCTGTGCACCAGGATCTGGCCCTGGGGCCCCTCCACACCCTGAGTGCCAGGATTCAGCCCCAGGAGCCTGGCACTGCCTCCTCCTGCCCCTGCACCCTCCCACCCCAGCACTGCCCCCTCCCCCTGGGATAAGGCACCGAGAGCCCAGTGCTGCCTCCTCCTACTAGAATTGGGCCCCCGGGCTTGGTGCCACTCTCTCCCAGCCATGTGTGCTGGAGTTGGGTGCTCCATCCAGTGCTCAGGGCTTGGGCTTCCCCATTGGTCTGGAAACCTGGAAGCTGGGGGCAGCTGGCCCGCCACCAAATTTCCAGACCCTGGGGAATCCAATGGACTGGATGACATGGTGCTGCGGGCCAGATCTAGTCTGCGGGCTGGGGGTTGAGCACCCCTGTCCTAGAGCCATTGCACTCAGCCCCCTGCTGCCCCCAGTCCCCATCAGCTAATCACCATTCAGGAGCAAAATCCATCTTCCAGTCAGTCTGGGCTGGTTGGATTCGAAGGCTGCTCCCAATGGGTGGACCTCAGTCTTATTCCCAGGCTCAGTGTACTCTTGCTCATTTATCCCCAAGCTGATGTCATCCTTGAGCTCCAGCCCCTCTTCTCCCCTTCAGTGGGGTGTTTCTAGGTGGCCTCAGAGCCCTTCTCTGCCTGCCCCTCACCAGGCTCACCCAGCCCTGCTTCTTCCAAAACATCAGCCTTTACTTTACACCAGTTCTAGCGGACCGGTACCAGGCCCTATCTTCCAGCTCTCACCAGTGCCAACCCACCAACACCCACCCCAACTCCGTTCCATTAGGGATGTTGACTGTAAGTTCAAGAATCATGGAGAAGTAGAGCTGGAAGTCAACAGACTCAGTTGATCAAACTGACTGACCAAATGTGGTTGATCTTCAGATTGGGACACTCCCAATCAGTGATGTATGGCAAGGGTTTGCAATATATGGCCTGTGGGCCCTGTTCAGAGCCACTGGCTCCACCCTGTGGAGCTGAGGGGCTTCAGCAGCATGTTGGCAGTGGCAGGGGTGTGGGGAGGAGACTCTTGGTGTACTGGCAATGGGGGACTTTGCCTATGCCCACACAGCATGATAGGGAGCTGTACCCATGCCACAACCAGGGGAGTAGGGAGAACACCAACCCACCTCAGAGCCAGGGTCATTCCAGCCCATGGCCCCAGAACATTGCCAACCACTGACATATGGTGTTTGTTACCAGCCCTGGGCCTGCTGGGGTGCAGGTCACACAGAGCAAGGTCAGGACACGTACCTAGTACTTATAACTCATTGGTTCCCAACAAACAAACTGACAGGCAGTGCCACCCTCCCTCCCCCCACCAGAAATTTGGGAGGGTAAATTCTTAAAGTCAGGATTTCTTCCTTCTGGAACAAACAGGTCCCTTTCTGGGGCAACTGAATTGAGGAGGATTGGGCCCTCTTTCTAGATTTCATAGAATCACAGAAAAGCTGGGCTGGAAGGGACCTCTGGAGGCAAGATCACCTCTATCCAAACAATCCTGTACAAACCCATACTAACCTCCTAGCAAAAGTACACAATCAGTCCTGGCACAATGTAAGACAGGACACCCGAACCTGCCACCGATAAAGCAGAGGGACCACTGCAGTCAGTGTCCTGCTGCTGCAAGATTGTTAAAATACGCTTGAGAGATCCTTTGTAGGGGCTATGCCCCCCACTATAGATGAAGGCAAAAACCCTCATGGTCCATACCAGTCTAAGGGGGAAAATTCACTCCTGACCCCAAATTTGGTGATCGGTCTGACCCTGAGCAGATCACCCTGCCCCACACAGCACAGCGCCCCTAGTGCCCACCACCCTGGCCCACACAGGACAGTGCCACTAGAGCCCCCCAGCCTGCCCAAAACAGCACAGTGCCCCCTAGTGCCCACCACCCTGCCTCATACAACATAGTGCCCACCACCCTGCCCCACACACAACAGATTCACCTACTGCCTGCCTCCCTGCTCCAGACAACACAGATCCACCTAGTGCCTGCTACTCTGCCCCACACAGCAGAGACACCTAGTGCCCACCACCTTGTCCCACACAGCATAGCACCCGTAATGCCCCCCACCCTGCCCCCACAGCACAGCGCCCCTTGTGCCCCCCACCCTGATCCCCATGGTATGACAGCCCCTAGTGTCCCCATGGCACAACACCCCCCACCGTATGCCTCACAGCATGACCCCTCCCTCCCAGGCCCCCAAAAGGTACCAGTACCAGAGGGCAAGGCCTGCTGCCTCCAGGAAGTTCCTGCCCATCCAGGTGAGGCATAATGGAGCCCAGCCCTGAGCTGAGCAGGCAGCACCTGCAATTAGCTGCTTTGTTAATGAGGCACAGCAGGTACATGGTTCTGGGTGGGGGGCCTGGCACCAGCTCCCGGACACCCTGACCTGCCTGGATCCCTGCTGATGTCCCTGGGGAGTGCTGTGCTGGGCTGGGGTGGAGGGGGCAGGGACACTGATGGGGTTGGGGCAGCAGGGTAGGAGACAAAAGCAGGGTGTCATGCTATGGGGGCAACAGGCCAGGGGGCACTGGGGGCCACTGTGCCCTGTCCTCTAGATACAGGAGGGAGGGAGCTGCCCTGTTGCCACCTTCTTGGTATAAATGGTATCTCTCACCCTCCAGGAAAAGGGTCCCACTTCCACACACCCCTGTAGGCAGAAGTTGCAGAGTGTCCCCAGCTGCCTGGGTTCCCACCCATGGTGTTATATGCCTAAGGCATAAACTTTATAAAGAACAATAAGCAGAATCTTTTTCAGGGGGACAAGGCAATATGCCGTGTTTATTGATAACACAAACTATTAAGCCATTATATTTTTATTGTTTGAATTACTATACTTATAGACATATATTAACATACATATTCATACACACACACACACACCATTCTGCAGATATTTGGATGTTACCAGTCCTTAGGTGCTTGAGTCAGCTTGGTGGCCAACTAAGCTGAACACAAGGAAGAGGTGGCCGGGGTCTGTCGGATACATACCTATGCCTCGTTGTGCAGAAGTTGTCTCCCCCCCAGATCATTTCTTTCTCACTCATCTTTTATGGTAGCAGCTGCACATCTGTTGCTTATTTGTTAGACTGGGGGTGCTAGCTGCACGTCTGTGATGACTTGTTTTATTGAACATCTGTGATGACTTGTTTTCTTCCTGCTGGAGCATGGCTCAGCTTCTGTGGTTAGAGATGACCTTTGGATTTAGCTTCGTTCATTTTTCCGCAGGTGTGATATTTTTATCTTCCTTCTTGCTGTTTGCATCTTTAGTTTCCATTTTCTTTCTTACCTGATCACATGCATACCACATTCGTACAAATTGAGCATGAAGATGGATAAGTAAAACAAAATGGAAGATAAAATTATAAATGGATGTAAATTAGTTAAAGAGAACTTAGTGTGAGATTACAGTGAGTCCAACGGTGGAGGCAGGTACAGCCCTAGGGATTGGGTGCAGGTGCTTGTGACTCCAGCAGTAGGTGTGGTAGCTGGTGTCTGAGCCAGGTTTTCCTGACAGCCAGGCTACAGGACGGAGGGCAAGCAGGTAGGGGACATGAAATTGGGCCCCTGCTGGGAGGTTCAGATGTGGGGTGTCGGGTGGAAGGTGTAAATGCAAAAGCTCAGGGTGCAGCTGGGGGTGGGGGTCAGGGTAGACAGGATTATGAATGACCAAGGAGCCTGGGGCATGGATCACAGCCCCTTAAAATCCCACTTCCCTCCCAGAGCTGGGAGAGAACCCAGGTGTCCTGGCTTCTGGGTCCCAGCCCCACTTCCCTCCTCTGTCCCCCTTGAGATCCCGCTCCCCTCCATGAGGCTGAAGTTGGTTGCTTTTCCCAGTTCCATATTCTTTATTCCCAGTTCTTTATTCCTTATTCCTGGTTCCTGGTTCCTTTTTCAAAGCTTATCTGGACCCAATAAAAGCTTGTTATTAATGAATTACACATCCTAAAGAGAGGGAAATTCATTAGCTATGTATATGTGCTAATTAATATGTAATACAATATCCCACATCAAGTACAGAGCTCTAAATGAAGGTCAGATTAGGATGGGATTACAGGGGAAAATTCTTCTTGGGCCACCCCAAGCTTCCTGTCAATGCCACTGAGGGACTGTCCCAAAGAACCCTGACCACAGTCCTGCCCGGCCCAAAGCACACTTTGGCCATGCCAGGCTGCCAACTACAGTCCCCATGCCCACTGTACTAAGTATAATGGTTTGAATAAGGAACGGGCATTTGGGCTGGGACTACGGCTAGAAATGTTGTTTGGGCCACCCATCAGAATATCTCTGCACAACCGAGGGAGTCTACTGGACACATCTGACCAGAGTCCTGTCCGACCCAAAGCATGGTTTGGCCGTGCCAGGCTGCCAACTGACACCAACCGCACCACTGTGCTAAGTATATGGACTTGAATAAGCAACTGGAATTTGGGCTGAGATTATACCTATAAATCCTTTTTAGGCCACCTTATGCCATGCCTTTGTGTCACTGGGGGACTCTCCTGCACATTTCTGACCAGAGACTTACCCGGCCCAAAGTGCCCTTCGGCCATGCCAGCCTGCCAACAGACAGCACCCCAGCCACTGTGCTAAGTATATAGAGCCGAATGAGGAACTGGATTTTGGGCTGGGATTATACCCAGAAATCATTCTTGGGCCACCCCAGACCACATCTCTGTGCCATAAGGAAACACTCCTGGACATTTCTGACCGGAGACTTGCCTGGCACAAAGTACGGTTTGGCTGTGCCAGCCTGCCAACAGACAGCAATTCAGCTCCTGTGCTAAACATATGGACCCAAAAAAGGAACTGGAGTTTGGGACAGGATTATAGCTAGAAATCCTTCTTGAGCCACCCCACGCCATGCCTCTGTCACCCTGGGGGACTGTCCTGGATATGTCTGACCAAAGACTTGCTAGCTATAATCCCAGCTCAAAAGCCAATTCCTTACTCAGGAAGAGCACACACCAACTGCTGAAACTTCCTTAGCCTGACGAAGGGTTTTTGAACTCGAAAGCTTGCTTAATTACTATTCTCCAACTATTTGGGTTGGTCTAATAAAAGATATCAAATTCACCCAAGGAACCTTGTCAGCCTAGGCTTGAATAAGGCAGACAAGTTTCCTTGGGTGAATTTGATATCTTTTATTAGACCAACCCAAATGGTTGGAGAATAGTTATTAAGCACTTTTCCCAGTTCCATATTCTTTATTCCCAGTTCTTTATTCCTTATTCCTGGTTCCTGGTTCCTTTTTCAAAGCTTATCTGGACCCAATAAAAGCTTGTTATTAATGAATTACACATCCTAAAGAGAGGGAAATTCATTAGCTATGTATATGTGCTAATTAATATGTAATACAATATCCCACATCAAGTACAGAGCTCTAAATGAAGGTCAGATTAGGATGGGATTACAGGGGAAAATTCTTCTTGGGCCACCCCAAGCTTCCTGTCAATGCCACTGAGGGACTGTCCCAAAGAACCCTGACCACAGTCCTGCCCGGCCCAAAGCACACTTTGGCCATGCCAGGCTGCCAACTACAGTCCCCATGCCCACTGTACTAAGTATAATGGTTTGAATAAGGAACGGGCATTTGGGCTGGGACTACGGCTAGAAATGTTGTTTGGGCCACCCATCAGAATATCTCTGCACAACCGAGGGAGTCTACTGGACACATCTGACCAGAGTCCTGTCCGACCCAAAGCATGGTTTGGCCGTGCCAGGCTGCCAACTGACACCAACCGCACCACTGTGCTAAGTATATGGACTTGAATAAGCAACTGGAATTTGGGCTGAGATTATACCTATAAATCCTTTTTAGGCCACCTTATGCCATGCCTTTGTGTCACTGGGGGACTCTCCTGCACATTTCTGACCAGAGACTTACCCGGCCCAAAGTGCCCTTCGGCCATGCCAGCCTGCCAACAGACAGCACCCCAGCCACTGTGCTAAGTATATAGAGCCGAATGAGGAACTGGATTTTGGGCTGGGATTATACCCAGAAATCATTCTTGGGCCACCCCAGACCACATCTCTGTGCCATAAGGAAACACTCCTGGACATTTCTGACCGGAGACTTGCCTGGCACAAAGTACGGTTTGGCTGTGCCAGGCTGCCAACAGACAGCAATTCAGCTCCTGTGCTAAACATATGGACCCAAAAAAGGAACTGGAGTTTGGGACAGGATTATAGCTAGAAATCCTTCTTGAGCCACCCCACGCCATGCCTCTGTCACCCTGGGGGACTGTCCTGGATATGTCTGACCAAAGACTTGCTAGCTATAATCCCAGCTCAAAAGCCAATTCCTTACTCAGGAAGAGCACACACCAACTGCTGAAACTTCCTTAGCCTGACGAAGGGTTTTTGAACTCGAAAGCTTGCTTAATAACTATTCTCCAACCATTTGGGTTGGTCTAATAAAAGATATCAAATTCACCCAAGGAACCTTGTCAGCCTAGGCTTGAATAAGGCAGACAAGTTTCCTTGGGTGAATTTGATATCTTTTATTAGACCAACCCAAATGGTTGGAGAATAGTTATTAAGCAAGCTTTCGAGTTCAAAAACCCTTCGTCAGGCTAAGGAAGTTTCAGCAGTTGGTGTGTGCTCTCCCTGGATGGAATGAAAAGTAAAGAAGCCAGGGGCTGGGCTGGGCTGGGCTGGGGAGTCAGTTGCCAGGCAGATTATAATCATTATAATTATTCAAGCCTATGCATTTAGTACAGTGGTAATGGGTGGCTGTACATTGGCAGCCTGGCACAGCCAAACTGTGCTTTGGGATGACCAAATCTCTGGTCAGAGATGTCCAGGTCAGTCCCTCAGTGCCACAGAGGCATGGCATGGGGTGGCCCAAGATGGATTTCTAGCTATAATCCCAGATCAAAATCCAGTTCCTAATTTGGGTCCAGATACTTAGCACAGTGCGGGGGGCTGCATGGGGGGGCTGTCAGTTGGCAGCTCAGCATGTCCAAGCCACACTTTGGGCCAGGCAAGTCTGTCCTCAGCGATGTTCAGGAGAGTCCCCCAGTGCCACAGAGGCATGGCATGGGGTGGCCCACGAAGGCAGTGGCGACGCATAGGGGTACACAGGGGTGCATGTGCACCCCCTGACCGGCTGCGCCCGGTGCCTAGGC